ACAAACCGCCGCCCTCCCCCTCCAGAAACACCCCTCTCTCTGCTCGCGTTACACCACCTTGGCATGGGATGGCATGAGAAAACACAGGCCCAAAATCCCACTAGACCCTGAGACCAGCAGCTGCTCCTGGATTTAACACACAAACAAAGAGAGGAGGGGGAAGAAAATGCCCGTCACCCCCCCAACAAAAAATACCATCCAAAAACATGCTCTCCTGTTTCAAAATGCACCCTCACTTCCAAACTGGCCCCTTCTATCCCCCATTTGTTTTGGTTATTTCACTTTAAAAGCTCCAACAGCACAGACACAGAAACACATTAAAAGTTTCAGTTACCAAATTAGAGAGCAATCCCATTTGTGGGTGAGAGACAGGATTTGGTGGACAATGACAACTGAAAATGCTGTGGTGGACAGCTTCATGTAAGTAGCCTATACATGTTAAGCCGTTTAACAACGCAAGGCAAGCGGATATTAAAACCGTCTAAAACAGGCTATACAACTTCCCTGTAATTCACAAAGCTTAGTCTAATGCATTCAGATTCAGATACGCTGGTCTTTGTAAGCGCGAAAAAAGAATTATAGTTTCCTACTGCAGCCAGTAAATTGCCGATATTTCCATCGTGTTGCATTATGAAGTACACAATGCCACATGATTGGGATTGAGCAGCAGCAGAAAGTGAGGGAGCACAGCGCTGTATAGCTGCCCTGGCAAGTGCATTGTCTCATCATCATTGGCTGACCCACATGACCTCAGAGGGACAAACTGTGCCCAGTGCACCATGGGAGAAATATTTCGGAGACAAAGGCTCTCACCAAGGATCAATTCAATATATTCTGATGTATATATGAAATAAGTATAGACCCCTCTTTTCATTAGAAGTGCATTTAAATGTCATTCTTCCAAATAAAAAAAAAGATTTGCTCATTTATGCTGTCCAAATTAGTCCATGGGGAATTAAAGAGACATTGTCCAAACTGGAATCTCGGCAATGGGCAGCCACAAAAAAGCTAACTTGTCATGTGGCAAAGTTGAGGGCCCGGCCATTTGATTGTGGGTTGAAGCCCCCTGCTGTGCAGCGGGACAGGCTGTCTGTGTGAACGCCCTACAAAGGCCAGAGTACTCTGGTTGGCTCCCAGGACTGTCAGATTTAGCCTGGCCTGCTCCTCTGTCAGAGTCTGACAGAGGACCCGCCGCCCGGCGACTGGCTGCTCCACTGACTGGCTGGCGAGCTGGCTGTTCGGTTGGCTGAGAGGCGACATGACTGGCTGGGTGAATGACTGGTTGGCTATCCGGGTGGGTAGCTAGCTGGCTAGCTGGATGGCTGACTGACTGACTGACTGACTGACTGACTGGCTCGTCCCCGCTACTGCTAGGGGGGTGCAGACCCCATCTGGACCAGGCCGAGCCGGGCCGGGTGCCGATTGTTCATACTAACATACGCCTGCCTCACACAGCCACACTGAACCAAGAACATTGTGGGAATGAGAGAATATGGAGGAGGCAAAAAAAATGTGGGCAAAATGAACACGAGGAGATGGAATTAAAGAGGATGTGTGTGTTTGTTTTTGTTTTTGAAGAATAATAACGGAGGTGTGTGTCGCTTATTTGAAAAGACTGAAGGGATTAAGGCTTTTTGGTGCATGGGCAGCAGACAAAGAAAAGGAGTGATATGTGCCAAGATTTTACAGTGACTTCCTGTAATATAATCGTGCCGTTACTGACAGGCTATACGATTATTAACCAAGATCTCTATCAGGGAAATCCAAAACCCCTTCGGTCCATTTAAAACAGCACATGTGTAGGTCTAGCTCTGCAACATTTGTTTCTGTGAAATAACTCCACTTAACTCTTAACACAAAGAGGATGAAAAGCTGATAACTATCATGAGACTACAAATTAATCCATACATTTAAGCAAATACTATTTGTATGAAATACGTAATCCATCAAAAAAAAATCCCTCTTTATGAAATCACTTAAGTAAATCTCCTCACTGCCAGCCTATTATAATCATAAACTGGGCCAAATGCAAAATTATACAACATCATAACACAGGCATTGAGGTCTGTGCAGAATTTTGCAGTTAAGGCAAGAACTTTTATGATTTTGGCCAAGAAATGAGTCTTTGTGGCACCCTACTATTTAATGTGTCCATGTTAATTTTGTTTCCTTTTTTCAAACCCACATATCCTTCAGCTCATTAGAGAGCGTTTGTCCATGTTGCCCAGAGTTACTGGGAGCACAACATGTGAGTGAGTTTTTCAGGCCTTGGCCGCTTGACTCTTTAGGTATCTGCTTTGCAATAATTTGAGCGAGAGCTCATCTTATCTCTGCATGCCATGCTCCTTCTTTCAGAAAAACGACGACCTTTGTTCGCCAGGCTGGGCAAGACAATCTCCCCTCCTGCCCTGACAGGGCACAACTTAGAGAACAGCAGAGAAATGAAACCACCTCAGGTTTTATTAACAAGGCCAAGCTTGGAAGCAGCAACTGCCAAAAACACAAGACAAAGGAAATGCATAAAAACCGAAATTGTTGTATTCAAGATGTTGATGGTATTAAAGAACAAAACAGAGATTTAAAAAATGGTGCTTACTGCAAATGTACCCATTACACC